ACCCTTATCCTATAGTTCAAGGATTTATGGGAATTTTCCAGTTTCTCTACTTACTCTTTGATTCTTTGATGTACTATCACTTTCTTGGGAAAGCTTATCCTGACTCCATATGGGAGATAACACCCTTGCCCTCAACATTTCTTTAATAAATTATAATCGTGACATTTTCTGGTTTTCTTTTTTCATACTGGAAGCTTTGTGAGGGTAGAGATTGTTTGTAGTTCACTGTTGTGTTTCTAACCCTGATCATAATGCCTAACACATATTAGGCACTCAATGAATTTTTGTTGAATTAACCAATAAGGTGATTAAATATTTGGATGTCTTAGTCTGAGATGAGGAGATGAGGATGTTTTGAGGTGAGAGAGGAGGTTTAATAGTAGAGAGGAAAAGCTGGAAGGAGATGAGGTTGTGGCCAGGGTAAGCTGTTGGGAGTTGAAGATTTAGAGGTAGATGGTTTCAGGAGATAGTAGAATCCAGGATTGAACTGTTGGGATAGAGATGGAGGTCTTCAAATTTGATGAGATTATGAAACTCTAAGGCAGAAATGTAGGTGGATTGTTTAGGTGGGTGTTGAAGTTGCTGAGGAAACTGGTAGAATTTGAAATGAGGACAATATAACCTGGTATCTATATTTCTTGAATAAATATGAGAGATACGTTAGTGAATGAATTAAATGGGTAAGGCTCCTTGCGGTTCTGGGAATAAATAAAACCCTAGTCCCTTGGTAAGCAGTGTGGTAGAGAGAACATGTGTTCAAAATATCTGGGTTCAGATTTTGAGCAACCCATCTGACTTTTACAGCCTTATTTTTTCTTATTTGTAAACTGGGAAGAATAAGCCTGCTGTAGGAGATTTGTCATTAATGATTAAGGTTGTGTTTTTGAAAGTGCTTAGTATTGTGTTATTTTTTTAAAAAAATTTTTTTTACTGATTTCAGAGAGGAAGGGAGATAGAATCATCAATGATAGAGAATTATTGATTGGCTGCCTCCTGCACACCCCCCTACCAGGGACTGAGCCCACAACCCAACCTGGGCATGTGCCCTTGACCGGAATCGAACCCTTCGGTCCGCAGGCTGACACTCCATCCACTGAGCCAAACTGGCTAAGGCTTAACTTGTTTTTTATTCTTGATTGTTGGCATTAGTTCAAGAGGGCACCGAAGTAAAAGTAGGGATGAGAGGCAAAGATAGCAGCATAAATGAATTTGGAATAAGGTACCCGATTTAATTTATTCCACATGTTGAATTCATACTATAGGGTTAGCACAAATATTCACAAATGAATACAGGTAAAGGCAAGTACTATTACACAAGAGAGGATTTTGTAAAATAAAGGTCACTTGCTGGCTCATAACATTGCAGTGTTGATCCACAATAAATTTTCATGTAAAGAAACGCTTAATCTAATCATTTTCAATGAAAATGTCATCATTCCTGGGGTATTTTGTTGTTGTTCTGGAGAAGAGAACAGGACCATTATATGAAAGGTATAGGTGGGAGAGGGCTGGTGATTTAAGTTGAGAAAAGCATTTCCTATCTATTAGAGCTGCCTAACAATAAAATGGACATCCTGGCAAAGGATGAGTTCTCTATCAAAGCTTGTATTCAGGTGGAGACTGGATGATTGATCTATCAGATATAATAGAAGGCTTCTTGCATGGGGGCTGACTGTGGATTAAATAATTGCTGAAGTCCCTTCCAATTGGAAGATTGGAGGATTTTGACTCCATTTGAGATTTGTCTAAATACCATTCAGTCAACAACTATTTGAGTGCTGCTTCTGCTTCTTTTGAAAGTTTGAAAGCCAGGCTCATTTGCTTCGTTTCCTTCCTGTGTTCTGAGACAGTGCCAAAGATTGAGTCTCAGTCATTGCCTTGGATATTCCCATTTGGAATTTGAGAAGCTCAAGCCGGGTGTTGGTCGTGATGTAACAAAAGCTGCTGTCCTCACCTGTTGGGTGGGGTTAGGGTGGAGTTCGTGGCATGCACCTGGAGATACCAAATACAAGAATGTGCTGCCAAGAAGTATGGTTTCGTGCTTTGAGATTTTTAGCAAGTCAAGATCTCTGATGCTTTGACATTGATAGTTTTCATTGGCTTCTCTCACTCAGAAGCCTGTGTCTGGCTGGGAAATTGCCCATGCCTGTGGCTTAATCAACTCTTACTGAGCACTTTTTTGCTGATTCCTACTTGTGTGTTTATTGTGTATTTCCCACATTCTTTCAGGAGGTTATTAAAGTGGCTTTACTAATTTTCTTTGCATGCTTGTTTGTTTGTTTGTTTTAGAAGATTGAAATTCATTTTCAAGCATGCTCTTGGTTTGGGATTATTGACGCATTTCAGTTATCTGGGCTGCTATCATCTCCTGTGATCTAAGACAGTGACTAAAATGAACCCAGAGAAGGAATTCTTATCTGTATTAGGGGAGGGAAAAACCACTCATTCATCTATGAATTCTGAAGGAATTTAATTCAAGTACTGTATATAAGGAACGAATATATTTTATACATTCTGAATTTGAGATATCTTAGGCAAAAGTTTTTTTATGTATTTGTAGCCTTTTCTGACAACTGTGATACTGAAATGGAAGTAAATTAGACATTGATAATACATAGACCAAAAGAGAATATAAGTATCATAGTTTATGAGGCTGTAATGAACTGAAGTTCTTTAAAAAAAAAAAAAAATCTGGAAAGGATTTTAGAAGTCATTGACTCCAAGTCTAGGATATAGAAGAGGCAACTAAAACCCTGTACATAATTTAACAGAAGTCAGCCAGCTAATACATACAGGTGTAGGCAAAAACCGTATGATATGAAGATGGTGGAAGTAGTGACAGTAGAGCTGATGTCTCTTTCGAAAGGAGAGTGCCTAAAACTTCAAGAGTTGGACTGGAAAGGCCCTTAGAAACAGAGGAGTGATATGAAGAACCCTAGAATTTCTGATCTGCTAAGTTAAGACTAAAATAGATTAGTTCGGTCGTAGCTAATGTGGAGGTTCAGTTAATCATTTATTCATCAGGCATTTACTGCTTATGATATTGTAGATGTATGTTAGATGTTGGGGCTATAAATATGAATAAAACATGTCCCGTCACTCGTAGATCTCTTGTACTACTGGAACAGTACAAGAGAGAATAATTTCTATTTTGCTGTCTCTCTCATATAAAAATTCATTGTTATCAAGTTAGTGATCTCTACTGGGCTTATAACCCCCCAAATGATTGCCTTAATATTTCTAAGGAATGCAGAAAATCAAGATCTGATCACAACACTAAACAAGCTATGACCTGGGGTCAAGGGTGATATGAAGATAAAAGTATCTTACATGTTTCTGAAGAGACAGACACTGTTACCTTATAGAATTCTACTTTTGCCTTCCCCGAAAGGCAGATTGATGAGTGTGGTAGGGCAGGTGTGTACCTGATGACTTTATGAACAAGTTTTCTTCTACAGAGAATTGTAAACAACTTGTCTGATATGGTAGAATTTAGTTAGAGATTGTCCTCCACTCCATTATTGCTTCCTCAGCTGGGACTACTAACTTCAGAGGAATGTGGATTGGTGCCAGGCTGTCAGTCAGGGACACAGTTTCTGCCAAAGTCAAGTCTGAAAGAAGAGATCTTTTTCAGGTGAACTTATTTGGCAATCATTTGTCCTGGGTGGAGTTAATAGACAAGGATTGACTTTCGTTATGAACCGTTGTGATCTCCACTCTGTGTAATAACTTATGGTTTTATTTTGAGTTGATCTAGCTATCAGTTTGTTTCTCTCATTTCCTCGGCTGGCATTAGAAGAGTGGTCAACTGTAAAGTTATTTAGTGTATAGTATTCATTCATTCATTCATTCATTCAGCAAATATTTACCGAGGGCATGTTTGCCAAGCACTGTGCCAAGTGCCAGGTGATACATGCTGGGGACACAGTCAACAGCACACACAAGCTCCTTGCTTTTAAGAAACATACATAGTAGAGGAGAAGGCTAGATAGTAACTAATTAAAATTATTTCAGAGTATATCAAGTGCCAGGAAGGAAATAAACAAGGTGCTATGTTAGAGAATAATGCAGATGGGAAGTTCTTCAGGGTGGTAGTCTGCTGCTCCCTTGGATAAGCAAACTGATGGGTAGAAATGTAATACTCTAGAACAGGGGTCCTCAAACTACGGCCCGCAGGCCACATGCAAATACAAATATTGTATTTGTTCCCGTTTTGTTTTTTTACTTCAAAATAAGATATGTGCAGTGTGCATAGGAATTTTCATAGTTTTTTTTTAAACTATAGTCCGGCCCTCCAACGGTCTGAGGGACAGTGAACTGGCTCCCTATTTATAAAGTTTGAGGACCCCTGCTCTAGAAAGTGGGGGGAAAGCATTATTTGGAGTGGTATTATGGTTTTGTGATTAATGTAGTAGTTAAGAAATTAATATTAATAAGGAATTAGGAAACTGAGTGTTACTCTTCATAATAAATTCAATTGAAATAAATAAGCTAGGATAGTTCATTTTCCCATTTGGTTAGCAAGCTGCTGAAATTGGGTTATGCTCATCCCATTCCAGTGTAATTTGAGCCTTAAGTGTTTATTTCTTCCTCAGGTGGAGGCTTGAATTTTGATCTATGACCTCCCTACATCCATTGCCTGAAAGTACTTAATGATCACATGACCCTGGACATGGATGCTGTCCTGTCAGATTTTGTTCGTTCCACAGGAGCCGAGCCAGGACTGGCCCGAGATCTCCTGGAAGGTAAGAGGTCATTGGGGAAGAATGAGAAGAAAGTAAAATGTGACACCAGGATGATTTGCAACATTTAAGATGATTGGGAGGACATTTTATGTATGGTAGACTTTACATTTAAGTTACTTCTAATAATCTACTCTGTGTATAACCCACCATATTTTAAAATGCAAGCCCCTCCTTTCACCTTGAGTTTTTTTAGGGTACCTTTCGCCACTGCCAATTTATGTTCAGGTAATACAAGTAAAATTTTATATTAGTTCACTAAAAGAATAACTCTAGGTCTTTCAGACTTCTTTACATATAAATCACATGGGTTTTCATATTTGGTATCATCCATGGTTTTGTTTCTGTCCTTTCCAATTTTATATGGGCAATTCTATGTAGATTGAATTAATTTAATATTCTTATTTTGCTGTTTTCATTTACTTACATCTGTATATACATATAAGTATGAATATTCTATATTTTATTAAGGTCATTAAGGCTTGGAATCATGCCTTGTGGGATTCTTTGTTTGGAATCATTATTAACAGATGCTTTTTTTGATGATGACAGTATATGGTGATGCAAATAGATAAGCCTTTGGTGGAAGGGGCAAGTTCTTAGTATACAAGGGTGATTTTTTAAATTGTCAGCCTTAGAAAGGTGTGACAGTTTGATATTTGCTTAGCTGCCTGTGAGTAGAGCCTTAGTTTGGAAGTAGGAGATCAGGATTTAAATTCCCAGTATTATAATTTTAAAACTGAGGTTCAGAGAGGTTAAGTAGGACTTAAACCTAGGCAATCTGGTTTCAGAGTCGTGTTCTTAACAATTATATTACAAATTAATGCTTGCATGTTCTCTCTCTCTCTCTCTCTCTCTCTCTCACACACACACACACACACACACACACACATACACACACAAATACACACATCCATACCCATGTGCACATACACTCATGCTATGAAGTGTAAGAAATGCTATGGAAGTGTAAGAAACCAAAATTAAAGAATGCAGAAAGGCCTTCCTGAGGAAGTGACATTTGAGCTGAACCCAGAAGGATGTGTAGGAGTAGCAAGACAAAGCAATGTAGCTGAGAGTCTTATGCAGAAGAAATAGATTATACAAGGATCCTAAGGTGAAATAGAGTTTGACACATTGGAAAAACTAATATTGAGTGAGGTAGGAAGACTGGAGCAAGATAGGCAGGAAATAGAAAGTGGGGGGCCTTTGTAGGTAAAGAGTTTAAATTTCACTCTTTTTTCAGTGGGAAGCTGGTGAAGGATTTTAAAACGGGAGTGACATGATTGGATTTGAGTTTTTAACAATGTACTGGTTAAAGGATATAGAACGGATTGGAAGGTGGCCAGAGAAGAAGCGGTAAAATCAGTTAAGAATATTTCCATAGTTTAGGTGAGAGAGGATGGTGACTTGAACTAGAGTGGTAGCAGTAGAGTGAGAAGTGGATGGATTTAAGATACAATTTAGAAGGGGAATCAAAGGACCTAATGTCATTTTCTCTCTGTCTCTTTCTTTCTGTCTCGTACTTTTTTCTTTAAAAGTCACAGGCCCCGGTTGCGGGCTTGATCCCCAGTGTGGGGCGCACAGGAGGCAGCCAGTCCATGATTCTCTCTCATCATTGATGATTTTATCTCTCTCTCCCTTCCTCTCTGAAATCAAGAAAAAGATATATATTTTTTAAAAAGTTAACTCAGATTGTAATATAAAGAATGAATTAGAGAGGGGAGAGATTAGGAGTAGAGACTAAAGAGCCCCTCCCAAAATGATTTTAAAAGCTATATATTCGTCTCTGTGCATGCAAAGACCAGGTGAAGGTTATGAGGACTTGAATTAGGACAGTGACAATAGAAATGAGCAAGAAAGGATGGAATTGAGAGATGTTTTGGGGGTACAAAAAACCATGCGGACTGACTAGTGATGGAAGAGGAGGAATGGGATGTGAGGAGTAATGACGAGTTGAAGGTGACTGAAGTTTCTGGCCTGGAGGGATTGTGATGCCATTACTAATATAGGGAATATAGAGGTTTTGGGAGGGAAGATGATAAACATTCAGTTTGGACATGTTGATTGTTTAGGAGGACCTGATTTTAAGGAGTTTAGCAGACAGTTGGAAATTTAGGGTCCGGTGCTCAAGACAGATGTCATTCATTAGCACAAAAGTCCTTCATTTTCCAAAAAATATTGAGTACCTGCTGTGTGCGAGGTTCTAGATACTTGAACAAAACAAACAAAAATGTCTGCCCTTAACAGTGGGAAAGATAGCCAATAAACATAACCAAGTAAATTTTAAAGTTTTTTATAAGGTGTTAATAGAAAACAGAAGAATGATGAGGTTGTGATTTTTAATTGGATAGTCAGGGTAGGCCTTATTAAGAATGTGAAATTTGGGCAAATACTGAGGAGATGTCTGGGTAGAATATATTGGGGAAAGAGCAGTGGAAATAGTGGAAAGGCCCTAGGTGGGAGCAATCTTTAGCATGTTCTAGGAATGGCGAAGAGGCCAGTAAGACTGAAACAGAGTGAGCAGAGTTAGTTGGACCAAATACTGAATATAATGGTACAGAAATAATTCAGCAGATGTAGATGATAAGTATGGCTTAACTGGATACTTATAATAAAACAAGAAATATAATAGTACAGCATTAAATGCATCTATAATGCTTTCTGTGTATCAAGCACTGTTTTAAGTGCTTTCAATTAACTTAATCTTCATAACAACCCAATATGATATAATTTCCACTTTCATAGCCAGGAAAATTGAAGTACAGAAAAAAGGCTAGAAAAATAGACCAGATCATAGAAAGCCTTGAATGCCACACAAAAGATCCTCGGCTTATTCCACAGACAATGGTAAAAGAGTTTGATTATGAAATTGAAGTGATTAGAACTGTACTTTAGAAAGAATAATCTCATGAAATTCTTTAGTGTGGATTGGAGGTGGGACACTAGGTGATGGGAACTGAATGAAGGTGGTCGCAGATGGAATAGAACAGAAGGAAGTGTGAACAATTATACAGCATGCCATTTACTGAATAATTTAACTGGAGAAAGCAACAGAAAAATTCATGATGACAAATCTGGTTTCTAGGGTCTTCAGTAGAGCAGTGATTCTTAAATTTGGGTGGGTTAATTTCCTTTGATAATCTGGTAACAGCCAGTAGCTCTTTCTTTAGAAAAATGCACATACCTATAACTTGGTGTACAATTTCATACAGCTTAGGACACCCTAAAGGACATCTGGATCACAGAATTAGGAGTCCTGGACTTGCTTCCTGCTAGGCCCAAGTGCAAACTAGCTGTGACTTTGGCTAAATCACTCTATTTTTTTAGGTGTCATATCCTTTATATGTAAAATGAGGTTACTGGGTCTCTAAGGGCCCTTTCGGTACAGAGAGACAATTTCTGTGCTCATGGAGCTTAGTTAGGAAATAGACAATAAGTAAATAAATTGTGATATTTCAGATAGAAGTGTTATGAAGAAAATTAAAGCAGGGTAAGGAAAGGAGAATGATTAAGTGTGCATGAGTATATGCTTGCTAGTTTTGATAGGATGATAAGAGTGATCACTTAGTGTCTTTCCTCAATTTTCCTATACTTATGTGCCCAATTCATTTTTTGCTTTGTGTCCTGACAGGAAAGAATTGGGATGTAAGTGCCGCCCTCAGTGATTTTGAACAGTTACGTCAGGTCCATGCTGGGATCCTGCCCCAATCCTTTAGTGAAGGGAGTGGTGCCTCCAGGAACCCTGAGAAAGGGTTTTCTGATAGAGAGTGTACTCGCCCTCCCCGACCTACTCTACAGCGGCAGGATGACATCGTTCAAGGTAATGGAGTAACTGAGGGCTATTTCATATGGAGTGGAAAGGAAGGGGCGGAGGGGGGACTGCCAAATGGAGTCAGAGTTCAGTGATCCTTTGGGGATGTTTCCATTCCTCCCCCTTGTCCCCAGCCAGACTGGTCAGAGGTGGCCTCAATCTGTCCAGGTGCTGGAGCTCCTTACTGCCACCCTGCATCTTGAATGTTATCCTGTATAAAGGTTTTCTTTAGATACTGTGAAAAAACAGAGGAAGGAGGATGCAATCTAATTGTTGAGATAAGGTTTACATAAAAATAGAATTCAATGGGTCACTACCAGATACTTCTTTGGAGGCCATTCTGTTAATATTATCAGTATCTACCAAAATTTAAAAATGCATATACATGCTGACTGAGCAATTTCATTTCTACAAATTTATCATATACTAGAGGCCCAATGCACACAATTTGTGCGGGGGTCCTGCATTGAGCATCTGCCCCCTGTTAGTCAGTGGGTGTCATAGCGACTGGTCGTTCTGGTCGTTCCACCGTAATGGTCACTTTTATTATATAGACAAGAGGCCTGGTGCATGAATTCGTGCATGGGTGGGGTCCCTCGGCCTGGCCTGCCATTGGGGCCAATCAGGGGAGGCCAGCTTCTGCGGGGAGGGACCACAGGAGGTTGGCCCCAGCAGCAGCTAATCAACGGCCGATTCCACAAGGAATTGGGTTTCCTCCTCCCTCCTGTCTGGGTCTAAGGTGCTGGTGAACCAGATTCAGGGCTGTCAGGACCCCAGCAGCAAGGTCTGGGTCATTGTGCGTCATAGCTACTGGCTGGTTGTCTAGTCATTCCTGTCATTTGGTCCTAATGGTTGCTTAGGCTTTTATATATATAGATGTTTATATACACGTCTCTGTGTGTGTATATGTAGATATGTATCTTCTTTAAATAAATAAATACATACACAAATAGACACCTACACATAGCCTATATAATAAAAGCCTAATATGCTAAGTGTCCGGTCATCCGGTCAGCCGTTCAACCAATCAAGCATAATATGCTAATGATATGATAAGGCTGCTCAACTGCTTGCTATGACTTGCACTGACCACCAGGGGGAAGATGCTCCAACTGGTAAGTTAGCCTGCTGCTGGGGTCTGGCCAATCAGGACTGAGCAAGATGGGCCGGACACGCCCTGGAGCCCTCCCAAGCTGGCCAACCTTCCATGTCCCTCCCTGGCCCCAATTGGGCACTGGTGGGGTCCCTCGGCCTGGCCTGCACCCTCTCGAAATCTGGGCTGAGGAACTCCCTTCCCTCCCACCCCCCTTGCCCCGAGTGCACGCATTTTGTGCACCGGATGTCTAGTTTAGTGTAAAGCTTGAAAGTTAAAGCTTGAAAACAACTTTTAATATCCATTAATAGAGGGGTGGTTAAATAAATTGTAATCATCCATATTATGGACTATTATGCAGCCTTAGAAAGAATTAGGTGGAACTTGATGTGCTGCTTTGGAAAAAATCTCTAATGTCTATTGAGAAAGGTAAGATGCAGTATATAGTATGCTCCTGTGTAGGTTTTTTAAATGATTTTAAAAGATACATGTGTGCATACAAAATCCTAGAAGGCTATATGAAAGGTTGCCTCTGGGGAAAGGGATCACTAATTTTAAAGAGAGGAAGATTTCTTTGTAACACTTTGTACCTTTTGATGGTATTTTTATTTTTTATCATGGGGCTGTTGTATTTTTTAAGAACCTAAAAAAAGAGTTTAAAAAATAAATCACTATAAAGTAATTTTTAGATAAGTCTTGACTTACTTTGTACATCATCTCTGGCAAATATGGGTTAAGAATTGCTACCCAACACATTTTTTAGTTCTTTTGATAATCTTTATATAACTTGAGCCATGCAAATAAATTATAATACTACACTGACCAAATTATGATCACAATGGGATATCTGCTGGGGAATTGTAAGTGCCATGTATTCAAAATAAATGAAATAATTTGAGGCACTGTCTTCCTCTGTAGCATGTCAAGTCAGAATTGACTGTACCTATAAATTTCTGATAAGTTTGAATATCAAGAAAAGTTATAGTAAATAATGTAAATAAATGTTATTCATGATAGGTAAGGAAGTTCCTGAATATGTAAGATTTTTCATTAATTTTCTATATTCTCGAAGACCCTAAAAATTACCCGAGAGATTATTTGAGTCAGTCTAACCAAATGCAACCCCATTTTCCCTATTCCCTCTTTCTCCCACAGAACAAATGAATGTTGGGAAATGAAAGTGGAAAAAGACAGTCATGGGGAGAGGACCTGCAGGCAAATTCCCAAAAGGGTACAAGAGGGTACAAGAGGAATGTATATTTGGTGCTAATATGCGTACACAACAATACCACTTTCTGTATTTCTCCAATTGTATTTGGCTTGAGAAGAGAGTTGTGGTATTTGGTAACCATTGAAACTCACAGTTTTTCCCAGAGTGGAAAGTTCTCTAAGTGAGCTGTGTATATTCTAAGGTGACTCCATTTCTCATTGCAGAAAAACGCCTGTCTAGGGGCATCTCCCACGCCAGCTCCAGCATTGTTTCCCTGGCCCGGTCCCATGTCTCCAATGGTGGGGGTGGGGGGAGCAGTGAGCACCCCCTGGAAATGCCCATCTGTGCCTTCCAGCTTCCAGATCTCACTGTGTACAATGAAGACTTCCGCAGCTTCATAGAGAGAGACCTCATTGAACAGTCCATGCTGGTTGCCTTGGAACAGGCAGGTCAGTGAGTGCTTCCTTTTCCATGCTCTTCCCTCTGCTCTCTACCTATAGGCAGCCACTGGGTGGGGCAGGGCTTGACCAGTACCTTCCAGTCTAAGTACATGATCTGATTACAGTCAAAGTCAGCAGTTAGTCAGATAAACTTGTATTAAGTTAGGTGTTTCTTCAGGTTAAAGTAAGGACACAAATTAGACACTTTTCTCTAAAAGGCCTAGGAATCAATACCTAAAAATCAGTCCATGAAAAAAAATACAAATGAATTATAATTGGCTCTGAAACACCTTGTGAACAGAAAGGACCAGTGCTGTAGACAGTGTACAGTGGTGATAAATCTGAAAGCCACATTTATTTATATAAACTTTTCCCAAATGATTTGTTTACCTTTACAATGGTGTTTGTCGTAAATTACTGTTAAAATTAGTTAATATGATGGGATTGCATATCCGGGAGTTCTGGGAAAGCTACTCAGGTATTAAAAAAGCTCCCATGGAAGGACTGGGGGTGGTGAGGGATAGAGGCATGGAAAAGAAGTTTTTCTTTTTCATTTTGTACCCTTCTATACTAACCATGTGAATTGATTTATATATACACATATATACTAGAGGCCTGATGCATGAAATTCATGCAAGGGGCTTGGCCCTTGCAGATCCGGCTTTGTCCAGAAGGTCATCCAGCTGTCCGGTCTAATTAGCATATTATGCTTTTATTATTATAGATTTTTAAAGTTAGCAAGTTATCTAGTAAGATTATAGGCCGGTTTTTCTTTCTGTAGACTCTTTAATTCAAGAAAGATTAAAAAATATTTTTAAAAAATTCCTCATCTGAGGACATGCTTTTATTGATTTTAGAAAAAAGAGGAAGGAAGGAGGGAGAGAGAAACATCAATCGGTTGCCCACCCCACATGTGCCCCAACCAGGGATCGAAACCGAAACCTGGGTATGTGTCCTAACCAGGAATTGAACCTCGACCTTTTGGTGTATGGGTGACGCTCCAACTAACTGAGCCATACCAGCCAGGGCTCAAAAGAACTTTTAAGCATCATTCATAAAATAGTTTCCTCATAAAAAATGGATTGGCAATTGTGGGGTGACTCTATAGAACTGAGAATCATCATCTTGGATGTTTTACGTACTTTGTCTTACTGTTCACGTCTTTAGAGTAACACCATATACATGCTGACTGTCATGTATACACATGATACTTGTTTGACACTTTGAACACATGCTTGGGGGTTGTTTTTCTTTTACTGATGGTGGATTTGTGCTGAGCTCTGTTGCTATAATATTTACTAATCTCCTGACTGGAACGAAGGAATCAGACCAAGTAGCCTGTACAGATTTCAATGTATGACCTTGACCTCATCATCTAACCCATCTTAGCACTGTTGACATTTAGGACCATAAAATTTTTCTTGTATGAGCTGCCTTGCACATTATGTTGTGTTTAGCAGTCTCCCTGGCCTCTACCCACTAGATGCCAGTAGGATTTTCCACTATTTGTGACAGACATATTTCCAGGCATTTTCTATGTCTCCTGAGGGACAAAATTGTTCCCACTTAAGAATCATTGCTTGCCATGGTTGGAGCATCATCCTATATACCAAAAAGTTGGAAGTTCAATTTCCAGTCAGAGCATATTCCTAGTTTGCAGGTTTGATTCCTGGTCAGAGTGCACATAGGAGGCAACTGATCAGTGCTTCTCTTTCACATCGATGTTTCTCTCTCTCTCCCCCTTCCTCTCTCTCGAAATCAATAAAAATATATTCTTGTGTGAGGATTAAAAAAAAAAAAAAGAACCACTGATACAACCAGTTGTGCTCACTAGGTTCTGATCAACTAAATGTAAGTGAAGAAGATATCTTTAATAGCATGATGATTTTATCTGGTAGGTTTCCTACAGGAAGCAAATTTGGAGTCTTAAAAATTGGGAAGTGGGGAGGGCTTTATGGGTAATTTGCTCTTCTTTTCTTCCTTTTTCTTTAGGGCGTTTGAACTGGTGGGTGAGTGTAGACCCCACCTGTCAGAGGCTGCTTCCTTTGGCAACTACTGGAGATGGAAACTGCCTTCTACATGCAGCCTCTCTTGGTGAGTCTTAAAAGTGGCCCTCTGTTCCCCTGTAGAAGGAATCAGTAGAGTTAAATGTTATGTGTAGGACTTGCTTCAACCAATGGTGATCATAGACAGAAGTGATGGTTCAGAGCAAGGGTGTGTGTGTGTGTGTGTGTGTGTGTGTGTGTGTGTGTCCCACAAGAAGTTGACCCTCAGAAGTAATGAGCAGCAGAAGCAAGCAATATGTAGCTCTATGTGTGTGTATATAATTCTACTTAATATTTATTCTTTGGTAAATAAAAAATATGTTTTCATCAACTTTAAATTATAATTCAATATAATATCTGCCTTAGCTTTTAAAAAAAAAGTCCCCATTTTCCAACCATCCCTCAAGCTTTGATGCTGATTGTCATGTGCCAGTTTTCTCTGTTGCTACCTGTTTATTAGGCTTGCATCAGGAGTAAGTTCTTTCTGTCAAGAGTTTGTAGGGTGTGGTATATACCTCACTTTCATGTCCTCAAAAATATAGAATAGGAACATCTTTTCTTTCTTGATTAAGTGTCTTTCCCCTAAATCCCAGAAGGGTTTCATTGAACTTGGACTTCAGCCTCATTTCTTTCATGCCAGTGTCTGTATATCATAATTAATAAGCGGAGTTGAATCACTGTAAGGTGTCTTACTGTTATGTTTTCTTACAACAGGGATGTGGGGTTTCCACGATCGGGACTTGATGCTGCGGAAAGCTTTGTATGCACTGATGGAAAAGGGAGCTGAGAAGGAAGCACTGAAACGACGCTGGAGGTGGCAACAAACACAGCAGAATAAAGAGGTGAGAGAGCTGGGGTGGGAGCATCTTGTTTGCCAAGGTTACACAGAGGAAATGCCCAGTGCCTACCAGTAGGAAGTGTCTCCTGGTGCTTAGGTGCTCCTGTATTTGTAGAAAATGCAGATAACACCATAGGGTGTCATAAGTACTAGTATGGGGAAGCTGAGACTTTACAGAGGAGGTGTCTAACTCTGCTTTTCACCTGACAGGTGCTTATAAGTCTTCAGTGGCAATCTTTTGCAAAATGACAAGTCCATAGGATTTTTGTATTCTTTTGATTTTACTAGTATTGTTTATAACGTGACCAGACCAATTTTTAAGGACTTGTGTTTTCAATCCGTGTAGAAATATAAATGCTTAAAAATATTTTTGGCCATGTATACCATTTATTTTTTCAAATACTTAGTGTGTTTAAGAAATTTTAAAGCATACCTGTTAAATTGAGTTTGAGTGGTACTTCTCAGGGGTTTAGCAAGTGTTGAAGCTTCTTTTATATAAGAAAGGAATAATGGACTTTTTGTACTTTCCATCTCCATAACAGAGGTTGGGCAAACTGGCCTGTGAGCTAAATACCACCAACTGATTTAAAAAAAAAAAAGTTTTATTGGAATACAGCCCCACCCATTAATTTACATGTGTATATTTATGTAAGTGCTTTCCTGCTGTAGCAGCAGAATAGAGTAGTTGGGTATGGCCCACAAGGACTAAAAGATTTACTATCTGGCTCTTTATAGAAAAAGCTTACCCACCCTTCCCCTTAACTTTAATACTGACATTAACATTTATATAAAGACAATAGATTTCCTTTTCCCCTGGTTCTGCCTTCTATGTTTATCTCCTGCTCTTTGGGGTATATCTAATTTTTGCCATGTATATGGCTGGGTGTTTCTGGAATTAATGTAGGAATATCTCTTCAGAAACTTTTCATCTTCTTTTCTTTTCTCCTTTTATTGTTCAATCATAACTGGCCATATACAGAACCAAGAGATTTTTTGTTTTGTTTTAGTCATTAGAATTTTATGTCCTGAAGATTTAAAATACATAAGTAGAATGTGTTCTGTTTCTTTCTCAAAAACAAAGAACCCATTGTTAAACTTAGGATGATGTTAAGATCACAATCCTATCTTTGATCAGCAATCTGCCCCAGAAGATTCCTGAGGGAAATAAATGCACAGGGCAAGGCCAAGTACATGACAAGTTCTTTATACCACCAAGCCCCATGGCTCCCTGGTGAGCTGAACTGGACCTTGTGGAGACCTTCTGTTGCCTGAACTAGAGCCAGTCCAGAGTTTGCCTTCTTTGCACCATACCTGAACCTGAACCTTAGATTTGACCACTCCAGAAATAAGGCCAAACCAGAGTATGCTGGTTATTAAGTAGAAGTGACAGCAATAGTCAGAGAATGGGTGTGTCCAATTCCAGCTTTTAAGCTATAACTTAATTTATTGATTTTTTAAAAAAATAACTTTTAGAGAGAGAAAACATTGATTTGTTGTTCCACTTATTTATGCATTCATTAGTTGATTCTTGTATGTGCCTTGACTAGGGATCAATCCCACAGGCTTGGTATATCCAGGCGATGCTCTAACCAATCCAGCTACCCGGCCAGGCTATAGTTATTATTTTAAAGGCGGGGTTAGATTATGATGGTATTTACTGAGGAGACGCAGAAATACCTATTCCCTCTCAAAGTCTCCAGTGAAAATACATGCATAGAGAATAGTAGCCATCAAAGGAGCAATCTTTTTACTCCTTTTGCTGGGCACATTGAAAGTTCCATATTAGAATTATGCCTACGTAATTGTTTTAGCTCAGATCACTCAGACCTTTGGGAGTGGGAATTGGGGGAGAGTGGTGATGGACTGGGGAGCTTCTATTAACCAGTACCAAACACAAAACGAACTAAAATGGTTTTGATTTCCCAGACCTCCTTTTGTGTTGAATTTGGCGGTAAAACGCAGTAAGAACATTTTCAGGCTAGAAGGGTACGCCACCTAGAGGCCGTGTATATAAGAACAGCAAGGAGAAATAGGTGAAAGAAGGGAGACAGATTCTGCTGACCATATATCAGAGTGACCACAGCGCCCCATATATAACCTGTGTATTGTTCTTATTTTTATTGGAAACATTTCTTATAGCACTTTATAAACTGAAAATAGCTTTAGCATTTTTTTAAAAATATATATTTTATTGATTTTTTACACAGAGGAAGGGAGATAGAGAGCTAGAAACATCGATGAGAGAGAAACATCGATCAGCTGCCTCCTGCACATCTCCCACTGGGGATGTGCCTGCAACCCAGGTACGTGCCCTTGACCGGAATCGAACCTGGGACCTTTCAGTCTGCAGGCCGACGCTCTATCCACTGAGCCAAACCGGTTTCGGCTAGCTTTGTAATTTTTTTTTTTTAAGTTTCAGTTATTTTTAGTTAAAGAAAAGTAGCCTTTTCCAAGGGCAACAAAGGAACTGAACGTCAGGAGGAAGCAGGGTGTGGGCCTCTCATAAGCTCTTGTTCCGAAACCTGGACTTGAGGAGAGAGGCCTCCTGGGAACTCAGGGGAACTGGCCAGCAGAGGGATGCCTTTGGTGGGTGGGTGGAGCTGCAGCCCACACTGGTCACTGGATTGGTCTGCATGGGCTCTAAGGTGATTTCCACCTGCCAGTTGTGCCTTCAACTCCTCTGGCTTTTCTGTGGAACCTGAGGAGACACCCATGTGCTAAGCCTTCCTGATAAGCAGTAGTGATAGCCTGATCCTAAGAGGGGACACGGAAGACCTCTTACCTGGCGCAACCATAATTTCATTTTTCTTAGAGCGAATTCGAAGGAAAGTGAGGTCATTCTGGGGGTCAATTTCACGCACGGTGCTCCGGGCCTTCAGGATGAAGTTGTGCATGAGGTTGGCGTACTGGGTGGTGGTGGGGTTGTCCATGGTGCTCTTGATAGGAATGCCTTCTGTGTTCACCACGATGATTCCCTGCACTCCCTTCTGGCTCTGAAGTCGCTTCAGTGTCTCCTCCACTTCTGCCATTTCGGACGGATCGGGTAGCTCCGCATCGTCAACACTGCCCAGGCCCGCTCCATTTTTAAAATTAAAGTAGAATGTGCTCACAATGGCTCTTTAATTCCTGTTAAATTTGTTCCTGGTGCCCCTCATGTTTCTTTTTTTAAAATATATTTTTATTGATTTCAGACAGGGAGAGTGGGAAAGAGATAGAAACATCAATGATGGGAATCACTGATTGGCTGCCTCCTGCACACCCCTACTGGGGACTGAGCCCACAACCCGGGCATGTGCCCTGACCAAGAATTGAACTATGACTTCCTGGTTCATAGGTTGACCCGACCCAAACAATGCGCCACACCAGTCAGTTTGAGCTTAAACATTTTAATACTAATGTAAGCCAAATACAATAGACTGTTACTTCACCTAAAAGTAACCAAGGCTAAAATCATTAATATATACAACAGTATTTCTGGGGTAGCAGAGTTCACAGAGGTAGGAGAAAGTAATGTTGTGGAAGCTAAAGGAGAAGGGAGTTTAAAGAGGATATCAAATGCTACACGAAAGCTAAGAAAGATGAGAACCAATGAGTCCACTGAATTTGGCAATTAGGAGGTTACTGTCCTTTGCCCAGTGTTGGTTAGGTGAAGTGGTATGTGGGGGTGAAGGGCATAGCTGGAGGGCAGAAACGGAAGCTAGATTGCAATGGGTTGAGAAGAATGGAAGAAAAAGAAATGTGAGAGAGATCATAGCCTATTCTTTCATGGATATTGGTTTTAAAAGGGAGAATAGATTTGACTTTATAGTACAAATTATAAGCCAAGTGCTAGGAGGATATTGCCTCTTGAACCTAGCCTCTAATTGCTTGCCATCCCCTGCCTGTCTTTCACAGTCAGGGCTGGTATACACAGAGGATGAATGGCAGAAGGAATGGAACGAGCTGATCAAGCTTGCCTCAAGTGAACCCCGGATGCATCTAGGTACAAATGGAGCCAACTGTAGTGGGTAAGTATGGGGGCACAGGAAGTAATCCTGAGTCCTCAGAGTCCAAAGAGCTCTGTGCTAAGAGGATACTAGGAAAAAAGAGAGGAGCCATGGCAGGATTGTATAACATTGTGGTATGTTCTAGGAACTCTGGTAGTTCAGTATTGCTAGAATATAGAGTATGTGGTGCAGAATGATAGATGAGGCTAGGTATCCATATTATGTGTGCCATGCTCAGGTTTCTCTTATACCATGCTAAGGAATTAAAATTGTGTCCTATCTAGACTTTCAGAAACTACAGGACAAATGACCCAATTTCCTCAATAAATAAATTGCAAGGAAAATAATAAGAGAGAGGGAACATAAGTTTAAAGACACTGAAGAGACATATCAACCAATTGGAATGTATGGACATATATAAGACAATTGAGTAAAAAATGTGAACAATGTCTACATGTTTATTATTAACTTTTCAAAGTGTGATATTAATGGTATTGTGGGTATTTTTAAAAGTTATTTTTTAGAGATAGAAACTAATGCTTAATGGATGAAATGTATGTCTAGGATTTGCTTCAGAATAATCGGGGGTACGTGGGGGCGATGGCTAA